GCCACGTTGGTTGGCCGTGTTGGTGTTCGGCGTGTTGGTCGTCAGCATAGTTGCCAACGTCATGGTGGCGGTGGCGGCTGGGCAAGATTGTCCGCTGTAGCACTTCGCCTCCACGGCTCGCCTTCAGCTTGATATCTTCATATGCCATGAAGGCCGAAATATTACTGGCGTACGAAAATATCACATCGGTATGATATCTTCGTATGTCATGCATTCCTCGGCATTCCTGGCCTACGAAGATATCCAACCAAAAGCAAGCCGTGCGCCTAAACTGCTGCAGCGGACGATCCTGCCCAACCCCCACCGCCGCCATGACGTTGGCAGCTATGACCAACGCACCGAACACCAACACGGCCACACAACGTGGCAGCGATATCTCCCGCACGCCTCTGCACGTATTGTACGGCATACCTGCGCTATCCTGCGTACTTGTGCGGCGAACGTCAACGTCCAAGCAGTCGTATGCAGCGTACACCACATGGTCACTATCGTCTGCGAAGTACTCGTCATAGTTCGGTAACTGCTGCATGACAGCGACGACTTCTTCGGCACCGCCAGCTTCTCACACAATACTCATCGTGTGGTGTACACTGCTTACAAGATTGCCGCACTCAACACCATCCACTGCCTGGTGTACTCACGCGTCATGACGACAACGATGCTCCCCTTCGTGCATCCCTTGCACTTGTGAGTTCGACTCCCACACGGGTGTAGTACACGCACGGACCGTCGTACTCCTGCCGCCCAGCCGGGGGACTACGGCCCCCTCGTGGGCGACGCAGCCCGCGTCTAGTCTGTCTGACCGTCCGTCGGTCCGACCGGGTGGCCGCTCTGCTGTTTTCGCGTTTTTCGGGGTGTCGTCCGCGGTTTCGGAGCCGCGCCTTTTAGGCTAGCTCCGTCGCCGCGTGGGAGCCGCGGTCGCCGGTTCGCGCCCCGCCGTCGCCGCTTTTTTCGTCTTCTTCCTTCGTTCGGTTCGGCGCCCCGCGCCGCACCGCACCAAACCTGGGCCCGCGGAAGGCGCCCCGGAGCATGGCCGTGCGCCGCTTCGTCGGGCGCGCTAGCTCCGACCTGGAGTGGGAGACCGCGGTCGCCGGTTCGATCCCAGCGCCGGCGTGTCGTTGTGTCTTTTTTTACGTTTACGTTGCGGCTCGCTGGCTTCGTCGCCCGGTGCCCGCTTTCTTCTATTTTTCGTTCGGGAGCGCTGCCTTCGTCGTCGCGTGGTTCGTTTTTCGCGTCGTCGTCGTTTATTGTTCATTTCTTTTCGTTCTGGACCGTGCACCGCACACCGCGTCGTCCCGGACTGCACTGCTCCACGCCTGGGCCCGCGCAATGCGCCCCCGAGCATCGCCGTGCACCGCTTCGGTGTCCGCGCCGCACCGCACTGCACCGCGTTGCACCGCACCGCGCCACACTGCGTGTGGCAGTGCATCGCACCGCACCACACCTGGACCCGCGCAATGCGCCCCGGAGCATCGGCGCTCACTGCTTGTGGTGTGCGCTACCTCCGACACTGAGTGGGAACCGCGGTCGCCGGCTCGATCCCGGTGTATGAGTTTTTTTTTGTTTTTTCGTTCGGGACTGCTTACCGCACCGCACCGCACTGCACCGCACCGCACTGCACCACGATTTAACGCGCAAATCGCAAAACATTGGCTGCACCGCACTGCGCAATTTGACATGCGCCGACTCGCGCATTTTAACACGCAACCCACCACACAACTCGACGTGCAATTAAACATGCAATTCAATGCGCAATTTAATGTACACCGAACCACGCAATTTGACCGCACTGAACTGTGCAGTGCTTGTCCAACGTTGTCCGTGTAGGCTGTACGGCATTTTGTGAAGCAGTTTTGTTCATGGACGTTGCCTCGCTACAATATAATTGCACCGCATATATACGCATCCGGTTTACTTATTTTCAGATACGGTTGCTTTAAAGCTGGCGGTTGTAGACTACTTGCGCTGCCGACATAAGCTGCTCGGTATTTCGCGAAGCTGGCCTCTTTACATGCATCGGCTCGCTAACCGATTTTCGCCAGACGACAACATCTCGGCACATCAACGGTTGTTCATCGCCATCGATGGCTATTCATCGCCATCCTCGTCTGCACGTCCTACACGATACAAGGTCAGTCCACGTTGCAAAGCAGTAGCAATGAATAGAAACGACGAATAGCAGTGAGTAGAAACGATAGCAAGAATAGCAAGGAATAGAAACACAACATGCACCGAAGTG